GCCCCTGTATATCTAACTTCTCATAGTCAGATAAATACTTCATTTTATTCCTCAGAATTAAATGCAGTCAAACAACCAGAGGAGTAAATACGATCTGGTGAGAAAGATTCACATCAAAAACCGAATTATGTAATATAAGCATTGCCTCGGTAGCGCGCGAGCCGCTCAGTCACACAAACAACATCAATCTCCTCAGAGAAAAGATGGCCGCAGCAGCAAGCTCTCGCTCAGAGGGGGAAGAACAGCAGCGCGGGCTTCTAAGCCTCGAGAACAAGCTCTAGATCTAGGGTACACGGGTGGAGATAGGACAAGCCGTCTCCAACCCGTCCGCCAGATCATGTGCGATCCCCGCGATCTCAGTCGCCGCCGTGCCTCAGCAGCAGCGGGACCGCAATCGCAAGATCACAGGCACGGACACACTCCTCGGAGCGTGCCCGGTGAGAGCGGAGCGCTTAACAGCGGGAAAAGCACAATCCACCCCCCGAGAGCCACCTGCACGAGCTCTGCTCCCTATTAATACTGCTCATTATAATGTCAGGCATAATATTGCTTGTGCAACTGATGCTTGTGCCCTCTCCCCGGGGGGAAGGATCGCAGCGCGGGCTTCCGAAACCCCGAGAGCGGGTGCCGGATCTGGTTGTTAAGGAAGCAGATCCATATGCGAAACTCATGAGCACAGCTGCCACCCCGCCTTGGCGAAAGCGGGGCCGGCACCGTGAGGAACGCTAGTGAAAGCTCCTTCCTCAAAGAGAGCCCTCTGAGAGCGAAGCAAGGCAGTAACAACTGTGCTTCGCTCCCAAGCAGACAACAAACAAACTGTGTGTATCCCCACCCGTAATGTCACGCGGGCAGGGAGGTACAATGCCGGCTCCGCCGCACGTGCTTTTATAGCTTCCTGGCCATAATGTCACCCGCCCGTGACATCTCGCCCAGCTATTGGACTGATTTCACATGTGATTCAGAGCGTGGTCACAGAAGGCGTTCCCAAAGCGTTCTGCGACGCAGCTCGAGTTCCTGAAGAGGAACTAGTCTTAACTCTGCAACAGTTTGATCAAGGAAAATTTATTTTGATGTGTATGCTCTTCAGGATGAGTGCATATCAAGCCATGAAAAATCAGTCATCAAATTAACAAAAATGGCCACCAGCAGCCAATCAAATTTCAGCAGCTCATAACTTGCATTGTGAATTTGCACAAAATTCGGCATGTACCATCTCCTGACAAAAAGTCATCAATAGAATTTAGATTCATTTAATTGTTTAACAGACATGCGCTGATATAATTTGGACTGTTGTCAATATTGACTAAATTTCCCATAAACACAATGATTAAACTACACAAAACTTGGTCCAAATGAAAAACAGCACATTCTGAGCAAACAAAACAAACTAAATTTCATAAATTGTCTGATGCTAACACCTTTAGTCCTTTAATTATACATTTAACTTTGAGTAATAAAGAAATTTGTCTAATGAACAAGGACATTTTTAAGTGCTTCTTTGAAATGGTTCTTTTAAAAATATTAGCGGTCTGAGAATTGCATCACCTCTGCTGACAACCTACTATATACATAGTGTGACAACATGCCCCATTACATGTTCAATATGGAAATGTTAGAGGTTAAATGTAAATGTTTTTTAATTATTATTTTTTTTATAATCAAGGCATTAAGGTTTGTATCTGTACCAAAACTGACTTCCAAAATCAAACCTACCTTGAAAAATATTAACTGGAGTCAAATCAGTGTGACAACTAGCCCCGGTGTCTATGAAATAAGACGTGCACATTCAGAAGAGCTCTATGCTTCCACCTTTTGTGTTGATGTTTTATTCATATTGGCAGTGGAACACATTAAACTGAAAGCCCTGCGAGGCACTCAAGCAGCAATTACTTCAGAAATGATAAAATTAAAGAAATTAAAACATTAGTTTAATTGGTTTGCGAGGAAGAGTACAAAACAAACAGTGGTAATTATTTAAGCAGTGTTCTCTTCCAATTAGATCAATCTACTACACATTAATTGATTTGTGTTTCCAATTAAAACACACACAGTTGTGTCGAGGTGTCTGTCACATTAATTTGCTGTGACTTTTTTGTGAACTGCAAGACGTTTGTCTGATGACTGTAATGATGAGTTCAGCAGACACTCTCGTTCTCACCAACAACAAAAGGAAGACCTGCCAAGCTAATAACGGAGCACAGTGAAATTATGGACTTATAGACATCAATTATTTATTTCATGTGCACGTAAAGAACAACATGAGGTGCAACAGCTCTGGTTCGGTCTAACCGGATTATTAAACTGAAGCTAAAACCATAAAAATATATTCATTACTGAAATAAAATAAATGTTAACTGAAAAAAAAAATGTACTAAAATAACTAAAAATAAAATTAAATAATTAAATAAAATTAAAATGATTAATTAAAAGCTATACTGACATATAAAAAACAACTAATAAAAGTGACACGAAACACAATAAAATTACTAAAACTTTAAAATTCAAACAAAAACGTAAAAATATAAAAATAAAAACAAATTCAAAATATTGATAATATTGATTGATGAGCTGCTGTCTAATGAAGAATTAGATTAAATATACAGATGCACAACAACACAACGCATGTAAGTCATACATTAACCTTCTGATAAT